ACTGTAACAGTGTAACAGCAGGTTGTAACAGCAGACTGTAACAGCAGGCCACAACAGCAGGCTGTAACATTAGGTCGTAACAGCAGGCTGTAACAGAAGACTGTAACAGCAGGCTGTAACAGCAGGCTGTAACAGAAGGCTGTAACATGCAGACTGTAACAGCAGGCTGTAGCAGCAGGCCGTAACAGCAGGCTGTAACCGCAGACTGTAACAGCAGGCTGTAACAGCAGGCTGTAACCGCAGACTGTAACAGAAGGCTGTAACAGAAGGCTGTAACATGCAGGCTGTAACAGCAGGCCTTAACAGCAGGCCTTAACAGCAGGCTGTAACAGCAGGCTGTAACAGAAGGCTGTAACAGAAGGCTGTAACAGAAGGCTCTAACAGCAGGCTGTAACAGCAGGCTGTAACGGCACGCTGGTGGAGAAATATATGATGATGAAAAAAAGCCAGCATTGAGAAGCTGATAAGTTGAATGTGTCTAAAATAATCCAATGAAGTGACTGAGCTTTTCTTAAGTGACTAAACTAAAGCAAACGGATGGTTTGACTGTAAGGATCCTGGAATAGAAACAAACCAGGGAAAAGACAAAGATACAAACATTACATATATTACATAAATACAAACTTTTGTTCCTTGAAGGTTAATAATCATCCACCACTCCCACTTTAAACTGCTTTTTTCCCTTAATCTCCCGATAAACTCCTGCAGCCGTAACCTTCTCTAAAGCAGGACGGAGAAAGATGGAGGCTTTCTGGGTCACAACAAGCTCCCACATTTTTACAGCGTTAAACTATCAGCATCAAACCATGTCTGTTCAGATACAGGAAACCATTAATATACTTAAAACCAAGAGGGGATTCTGATTATCTAATTGATCGGTTCCTGTAGCGTAGATGAATGTCGGATTAAATCATTCATACAGTACACAACTCAGCTGCATTGATATTATTTCCTGAAGCATTGTCCAATAGATGCTTTGGTGCTTGAAATAAAACATAAAGTGAGAAGAATAAAGCAGGTGAGCTCATTTAATAACAATAATGTTATTTCTTTATTTTATTGCATCAGAAGCTCTGAGTGGGAATGATGTCATGGATCCCGGTTAGAAATCAGAAAATAATTTTTTCTGTGATGCAAAGAGAAGCACTGATCAGCACATCAGTGTGTCGACGCGCTGGGGATGATGTTTAAAAAGCTCTGACTGGTCAGGATGACTGGAAAAGCGAAGAACTAAGCAGGAGTTTCATTGTTTTCTCCTGGAATCACACAGAGAACGCACCAACCTGGGCATACCTGGGGGACTGAAGGTGCTGCTACAGATGTGCACAGAATTCGTTTTGTCGGTTGACAAAAGCTCAGAGCTAAAAGGGATCATTTCTGCAGAACGCAGGTTCTCCGCATCGATAAAGGTCTGCTGCTCCGCTACTGGTCTAACGAAAGCTTTATTAGGAAAGGCTGATTCAGGACCATTAAAAATATTAAATCTTTTGGTCTTAAGTCATGTAAGATGACTCGTTAATTTGCCAAAGTACTGGAGAATCGGATACATTCAGTCCAAACAGGTTTCACTGCTATTAAAGGCAACAAAAAGTGTCTCAGTAGGTCAGCTGCCATCCATGCAACGCTGCAGCTGCCATCAATGCAACGCTGCAGCTGCTATTCATGCTACGCTGCAGCTGCCATCCATGCAACGCTGCAGCTGCCATCCATGCAACGCTGCAGCTGCCATCCATGCAACGCTGCAGCTGCTATCAATGCAACGCTGCAGCTGCTATCAATGCTACACTGCAGCTGCTATCAATGCAATGCTGCAGCTCCTATCCATGCAACGCTGCAGCTCCTATCCATGCAACGCTGCAGCTGCTATCAATGCAACGCTGCAGCTGCTATCAATGCAACGCTGCGGAAAGCGGCTCTGCATGTCGTTTTGTAGGCCATTAATGTGGTTCATCAGATGGATGGCCGTGATAACCACAGGTAATCCCGATTTAGTCTGTTTTCCTCATCATAGAACAGAATAGAATAGATTGTTCCAAAATCACAACGCAAAAGGAAACCCTCCCTTATGGAAGAGTTTTAACCTTAATTATTAATCATTTAATCCCAAAAATGACCTTTTCCTTGGTCCCTGCAGCTGCTGTGTTCACATAGTGGAGAATCTGGCCTCCCATCCTGCCTCCAGGCTGTTTCAGCAGAGCGCTGATGATTTTAGTGGAGAAGTTTGGCCCAGATGGAGATGTTTTGGAGCGTTAATGAGGTGCCAGCTTGTACCTGTTTCCTTTTGCCTCAGGCCACAACAATATCATTACCATCAGCTGAGTGAGCGAGGAAGCCTTTTTGATTTAGCCTCTGATCAACAGGAAAAGCCTTTTTTTTTATCTCCAAGTTTCTGCACCTCAGCGTCTTTTTCAGATTCTCCAAGCCTCAGAAAGTCATTTTTTCTTTTTTCAATCATGAGCTAAAAACCGTCCATCGTGTCTCGTTTGATGAGCTGCCTTCAGGTCTGGGGGACTTTTCTGAAACTTTCCTGAAACTTGGTTAAGACCTTCCCGATGTGAAAGTTATAAAATGTATGTTAATTAATTAGGTTATTTTTATTTCCTTAAGAGTTTGCATGAATCGTGATAAATGATTTACCATCTCAGAACAATGTAACCCCCCAACATTGTTTTAAGGGTCACGTCTGACCAATCGCGATGGGACACCTGCACCAAAGGCACCAAAGGCACCAAAGGCACCAAAGGCTAGCTTCTTTACCATAATCATAATAACTCGCATTCCATAACTGAAGCCAATGGATGTTTTTATAATTCTATGCAGAAATTCAATATTTAAAACATCAGATTTATTCAAATATCACATTTCTGCACATTGCTTCACAAAGCTGCTAAACCACTAAAATCCAAACAGAAACAGTTTCAGGAAAATACGACTTTTATAGCTTAATGAATTTAGTTCATTTTCAAGAAACATTCCTCAGTTTTGCTGTCGGCTCTTTAATGTCTGCAGACTGAAACCTCAACCAATGGGCGCTTTAACTTCTCTTTCTATGTGATGCAATCATTTTTACAGCTGGAAACATTTCCAAATACTTGAGTGGATGTTTTTGTAGGTGAAGTTAAAAAGAAGTCGCCTTCTGTCAGTCAGCTGACCGGCAGTGCTTAGCAACAGGTGAGGGAGGGGCAGAGCTGCAGATTAAACCACTGTTTTTATCTGACCCATGTGCTTCAAGTTCAGCTGACATTGACCTCTATATAAAAAGGCAGAAACTCTAATTATTGATATTATATTAGCGTAACCATGGGTTACAGATCTAGCATTGTTTGTCGCCCACTTTCAATCTCAAAGAGTCTTTATGAACCAAAGGAAATGTTTGCGATGCTCACGTCTAAATATAAAAGACTCTCAGCTGAAGCAGAAGTTTCTCTGGTTCTTCTTTACAGATGGGAAGTCGATGCTGGATTCCCCCCCCTGACAGTGCAAGATCTCAGGTTTTTTTCTGGGGGGTAGGAAGTAGGGATGCACGATATTGGGATTTTGGCCGATATCCGATGTGCCGATATTTTAAAACTCATGTAGCCGATAACCGATATCGATACCGATGTTAAAGCTGGACAAAAATAAGTAGTCATTGAAAATAGCAGTTTTGTTATCCATTTCTGACACTTTGAAAAATAATTTTCATGTGCCGATATCAAATTGATTTTTAAAAACG